CAGGAACAGATATGCTTTCTCATCATTTATGATGCACAGGCTGCCGGTATATTGTATTCTTCAAATGTCAGGACTTTTATCTCAGATGGTCATATCACACTGTCACTTTCTTCACAGGTTTTCCACCTTTATAATTCAGTTTGATTTGAGTTTTTTTCTGACTTTTCTGACTAAACAACCACAACATGCGTCACTTATTTATCTGCACTGGACATTATTTCCGTACACTGAGGGGAAATTTTTGACGTTATCTCAGATCTCTCTCTAATGTCGACTTGCTCATCAAAACAATCAGCACCAGCTTCACCAACAAGCTGTAGGTTGGTTTTCTTCTTCTACTACAGCACCTCCTGCAGGAGGTGAGGCCTTTTGAGTCAAATGATATCAGTGAAACAAAGAGCTTTAATCGATCCCGAGCATTCAGGAAAATGAATATGATATCAGAGATCAACATGAGGCTGAACTCAACACAAACATGATCCTAAATAGACAGCATTTGTGCTTATTTTGTTACTGTAACTCTAACTACTGCAGAACTGTCAGATTCCTCCTGCTGCTACAGTAAGCATCATTTCTGCTCATGATATTTTACTCAGAAGCAAATCTAGGTTACATGTGCATCTTGCAGCTGCGTCTCTTGCTGGATAGATGTTTTTTGGATGGCTGAATGCTTCTACTGTTCTCGTCGTCAAACCTGGGGTTGAAATTCTCCCATGTGTGCTGTCCACAACAAGTTTCTCCTCCCCATCAACTCCATGCTGATTTTTTATTTTCATAATAGAAGTGAAAACACAGCTAATGGCTACGTGTTTTTGCTCATTTACATTTACAAACACTTTTGCTGCGTTACCCATTTCACTGCATAACTACAGATGCTATGAATTACTAGAAATACTAAATCTAGAAAGTTGTTAACCCAAATGTAGAAAAAGGAGGCAGATGAAGACTCAAGCGACCATTTAGTGCTGAAGTCCAACTAAGGTGTGAGAGGTTTGCACAGCACAGGAGACAAAGACAGGAGAAAGGAAGGCCCTGTGCAGGGGCTAACCACTTCAGGGG